ATCAGGGTGACATGTATTGTCAGCCCATCATGTGATCGGGGTGACCTGTATTGTCGGCCTATCAGGGTGACCTGTATTGTCGGCCCATCATGTGATCGGGGTGACCTGTATTGATGGCCCATCATGCCATCAGGGTGACCTGTATTATCGGCCCATCATGCCATCAAGGTGACCTGTATTGTCGGCCCATCATGCCATCAGGGTGACCTGTATTATCGGCCCATCAGGGTGACATGTATTGTCGGCCCATCATGCCATCAGGGTGACCTGTATTGTCGGCCCATCAGGGTGACATGTATTGTCGGCCCATCATGCCATCAGGGTGACATGTATTGTCGGCCCATCATGCCATCAGGGTGACATGTATTGTCGGCCCATCATGTGATCGGGGTGACCTGTATTGTCGGCCCATCAGGGTGACCTGTATTGTCGGCCCATCATGTGATCGGGGTGACCTGTATTGTCGGCCCATCATGCCATCAGGGTGACCTGTATTGTCGGCCAATCATGCCATCAGGGTGACATGTACTGTCGGCCCATCATGCCATCAGGGTGACCTGTATTATCGGCCCATCAGGGTGACCTGTATTGTCGGCCCATCATGCCATCAGGGTGACCTGTATTGTCAGCCCATCAGGGTGACATGTATTGTCGGCCCATCATGCCATCAGGGTGACATGTATTGTCGGCCCATCATGTGATCGGGGTGACCTGTATTGTCGGCCCATCAGGGTGACCTGTATTGTCGGCCCATCATGTGATCGGGGTGACCTGTATTGATGGCCCATCATGCCATCAGGGTGACCTGTATTGTCGGCCCATCATGCCATCAGGGTGACCTGTATTGTCGGCCAATCATGCCATCAGGGTGACATGTATTGTCGGCCCATCATGCCATCAGGGTGACCTGTATTATCGGCCCATCAGGGTGACATGTATTGTCGGCCCATCATGCCATCAGGGTGACCTGTATTGTCGGCCCATCAGGGTGACATGTATTGTCAGCCCATCATGCCATCAGGGTGACATGTATTGTCGGCCCATCATGTGATCGGGGTGACCTGTATTGTCGGCCCATCAGGGTGACCTGTATTGTCGGCCCATCATGTGATCGGGGTGACCTGTATTGATGGCCCATCATGCCACCAGGGTGACCTGTATTATCGGCCCATCATGCCATCAGGGTGACCTGTATTGTCGGCCCATCATGCCATCAGGGTGACCTGTATTATCGGCCCATCAGGGTGACATGTATTGTCGGCCCATCATGCCATCAGGGTGACATATATTGTCGGCCCATCATGTGATCGGGGTGACCTGTATTGTCGGCCCATCAGGGTGACCTGTATTGTCGGCCCATCATGTGATCGGGGTGACCTGTATTGATGGCCCATCATTCCATCAGGGTGACCTGTATAATCGGCCCATCATGCCATCAGGGTGACCTGTATTGTCGGCCCATCATGCCATTAGGGTGACATGTATTATCGGCCCATCAAGGTGACCTGTATTGTTGGCCCATCATGTCATCAGGGTGACATGTATAATCGGCCCATCAGGGTGACATGTATTGTCGGCCCATCATGCCATCAGGGTGACCTGTATTGTCGGCCCATCAGGGTGACATGCATGTCGGCCCATCATGTCATCAGGGTGACCTGTATTGTCGGCCCATCATGTGATCGGGGTGACCTGTATTGATGGCCCATCATGCCATCAGGGTGACATGTATTATCGGCCCATCAAGGTGACCTGTATTGTTTGCCCATCATGTCATCAGGGTGACCTGTATTGACAGCCAATCATGTCATCAGGGTGACATGTATTATCGGCCGATCAAGGTGACCTGTATTGTTTGCCCATCATGTCATCAGGGTGACCTGTATTGTCGGCAAATCATGCCATCAGGGTGACATGTACTGTCGGCCCATCATGCCATCAGGGTGACATGTAATATCGGCCCATCAAGGTGACCTGTATTATCGGCCCATCATGCCATCAGGGTGACCTGTATTGTCGGCCCATCATGCCATCAGGGTGACCTGTATTGACGGCCCATCATGTCATCAGGGTGACATGTATTATCGGCCCATCAAGGTGACCTGTATTATCGGCCCATCATGCCATCAGGGTGACATGTATTATCGGCCCATCAGGGTGACCTGTATTGATGGCCCATCATGCCATCAGGGTGACCTGTATTGATGGCCCATCATGCCATCAGGTCGACATGTATTATCGGCCCATCAGGGTGACCTGTATTGTCAGCCCATCATGCCATCAGGGTGACATGTATTATCGGCCCATCAGGGTGACCTGTATTGTCAGCCCATCATGCCATCAGGGTGACATGTATTATCGGCCCATCAGGGTGACCTGTATTGATGGCCCATCATGCCATCAGGGTGACATGTATTATCGGCCCATCAGGGTGACCTGTATTGACGGCCCATCATGCCATCAGGGTGACCTGTATTATCGGCCCATCAGGGTGACATGTATTGTCGGCCCATCATGCCATCAGGGTGACATATATTGTCGGCCCATCATGTGATCGGGGTGACCTGTATTGTCGGCCCATCAGGGTGACCTGTATTGTCGGCCCATCATGCCATTAGGGTGACATGTATTATCGGCCCATCAAGGTGACCTGTATTGTTGGCCCATCATGTCATCAGGGTGACATGTATAATCGGCCCATCAGGGTGACATGTATTGTCGGCCCATCATGCCATCAGGGTGACCTGTATTGTCGGCCCATCAGGGTGACATGTATTGTCGGCCCATCATGTTATCAGGGTGACCTGTATTGTCGGCCCATCATGTGATCGGGGTGACCTGTATTGATGGCCCATCATGCCATCAGGGTGACATGTATTATCGGCCCATCAAGGTGACCTGTATTGTTTGCCCATCATGTCATCAGGGTGACCTGTATTGACAGCCAATCATGTCATCAGGGTGACATGTATTATCGGCCGATCAAGGTGACCTGTATTGTTTGCCCATCATGTCATCAGGGTGACCTGTATTGTCGGCCCATCATGCCATCAGGGTGACCAGTATTGTTGGCCCATCATGCCATCAGGGTGACCTGTATTGTCGGCCCATCATGCCATCAGGGTGACCTGTATTGTTGGCCCATCATGCCATCAAGGTGACCTGTATTATCGGCCCATCATGCCATCAGGGTGACCTGTATTGTCGGCCCATCATGCCATCAAGGTGACCTGTATTATCGGCCCATCATGCCATCAGGGTGACCTGTATTGACGGCCCAACATGTCATCAGGGTGACATGTATTATCAGCCCATCAAGGTGACCTGTATTGTTGGCCCATCATGTCATCAGGATGACCTGTATTGTCGGCCCATCATGTCATCAGGGTGACCTGTATTGTCGGCCCATCATGCCATCAAGGTGACCTGTATTGTTGGCCCATCATGCCATCAGGGTGACCTGTATTGACGGCCCATCATGTCATCAGGGTGACATGTAATATCGGCCCATCAAGGTGACCTGTATTATCGGCCCATCATGCCATCAGGGTGACCTGTATTGTCGGCCCATCATGCCATCAGGGTGACCTGTATTGACGGCCCATCATGTCATCAGGGTGACATGTATTATCGGCCCATCAAGGTGACCTGTATTATCGGCCCATCATGCCATCAGGGTGACATGTATAATCGGCCCATCAGGGTTACCTGTTTTGACGGCCCATCATGCCATCAGGGTGTCTGTATTGTCGGCCCATCAAGGTGACCTGTATTGTTGGCCCATCATGCCACCAGGGTGACCTGTATTGATGGCCCATCATGCCATCAGGGTGACCTGTATTGATGGCCCATCATGCCATCAGGGTGACATGTATTGACGGCCCATCATGCCATCAGGGTGACCTGTATTGACGGCCCATCATGCCATCAGGGTGACCTGTATTGACAGCCCATCATGCCATCAGGGTGACATGTATTATCGGCCCATCAGGGTGACCTGTATTGATGGCCCATCATGCCATCAGGGTGACCTGTATTGATGGCCCATCATGCCATCAGGTCGACATGTATTATCGGCCCATCAGGGTGACCTGTATTGTCAGCCCATCATGCCATCAGGGTGACATGTATTATCGGCCCATCAGGGTGACCTGTATTGTCAGCCCATCATGCCATCAGGGTGACATGTATTATCGGCCCATCAGGGTGACCTGTATTGATGGCCCATCATGCCATCAGGGTGACATGTATTATCGGCCCATCAGGGTGACCTGTATTGACGGCCCATCATGCCATCAGGGTGATCTGTATTGACGGCCCATCATGCCATCAGGGTGACATGTATTATCAGCCCATCAGGGTGACCTGTATTGATGGCCCATCATGCCATCAGGGTGACATGTATTATCGGCCCATCAGGGTGACCTGTATTGATGGCCCATCATGCCATCAGGGTGACATGTATTATCGGCCCATCATGCCATCAGGGTGACATGTATTATCGGCCCATCAGGGTGACCTGTATTGATGGCCCATCATGCCATCAGGGTGACATGTATTATCAGCCCATCAGGGTGACCTGTATTGATGGCCCATCATGCCATCAGGGTGACCTGTATTGATGGCCCATCATGCCATCAGGGTGACCTGTATTATCGGCCGACCAGGGTTACCTGTATTGTCGGCCCATCATGCCATCGGGCTGACAACTGACAAGTGTTGGTGCATGAGGTCATCAGGCTACTCTGTAGTTCTATCACTTTCCTCAGGTGGACTTCAAGACTCCAAGACCAGGGAGTGGGTTTAACAGTACATCCCAGCACTGGCATAATGAGTGATGCAACTTGTGGACATTAATACAACTTAATTCTGACCATGAGCAGGGGCACCGGGAAGATAAACCAAGAATCGTAATCTGGCCGGATGTGTGATTGCCACGAACAGCAAATTCAAGGGCTGTTGACCACTCTGACACTGCCCCCTCCAATAACAAACAGCAATGATATTTGATAAATTTATTTACAAAACCATTCATACATTCTCTCAAAATAGCACAGCTGATACATGAGTCAGTGTAGTTGTTGCACAAAATGTCTCATAAATATGTGAATATATTCTGGAAACACTTGGAATCTTTTAAGGTGTTAGATGACTCCATATATTTTCTAACTAAATGTTAAGCCTGAAACGTAAAACACAGTGCATGAGTGTCTTGTCTATCCTTGCTGTTACAGGAAGGGAAACATGAAGTTTCCACATGTTTCTTTGGGACCGTGACGACGTGCCTGTGTTTCCATCTTGGTAATAGCAACTGAAAGAAACAATCCAGAGTAGATCATGTGCATGGGTAGACTCTCGTACATCTCACTCATCAAACAATTACATTTAGCAGGTTGCGACTGATTCGGAGATTTCCTGGAGATTTCCAGTAATAATGTGTGGGGTCCCAGGCTGGCACCATGTAGGGTGCATCACTTGATTTCCAAGATTAACTGATGTCCTTTTGCACAAGCTCAGATGCCCCAGACCTCTTTTTGATGGGGATTGCAGCTGTGTGATGTTACGCTTCTCCCTATTACTGAACTTTCAACTTTTCTGCCACTTTGGGGTACTTAGGTGCACATATTTCAGTTTTTTGTTGCATCACTCAGGAACTTAAAAAAGTACCCACAAAATATGTTTCCCTGTTTTACACATTGTGAAGAATCTAAACCCATTCTCATTTCACAAATCTGATTTTGTCATCAAATATCAAAAGTGACAAATGAAATACAGTGACACCTTGTTAACATCATGTCCATGGGACCATCAAAGTTATATATTCATCCATGCTGACTAAAGACTGAGGACAAAGGATCTGTCTCAGTGTCTGGACAACAAAGTTACATCTTTTCAGATCATATTGACTGAATGATGTTCAATTATGTGGCTTCACTGCAATATTTCTTTCCTGATTCATTCCGTAGCTACTATTCACCTACTACAATACGAAACTTCGTCAGTATTTCAGAGAAACAAACGAACGGTGGTTGAACTGAATATATATCAAATATGTTTCAGACTTGTGACTCATTTATAAGAACAGCTGCTGTGGCCTCCAGATGCTTTGTTAAACAAGAATCATCAAAAGATGACAAATTCCCCTGGCCCCCACAATATCAAAAGGCATCACTTCAGCCCTTAGTTAATACATGTACCAAGTTGAATGAAAATTCTTTCACAGTTTTCAAGCAATGCTCAGAACAGACAGACGGACTGAGAGACCATATGATGACTATATCCCCCTGCATTATTTCTTTTCTTTCTCTTTTTTTATTTATGGTTTATAAAAAGAAGTACCTGTTACATAAAATTGGTTTCCGCCCAGAGTCCCCCACCTATTTGTCACCGTGGGCCCCACTAATACATACATAAGATCCGCACAATGGGTGAACCGTTACCTTCTCTCTCTCCCCTCTCACACACTGTCCTGTAACTGGTCAGTTCTCCAGGAAAGACACGTAGTCTGTTAAGACGGCCAGTTGGTGCTCACTGGGCGGGGCGTGGCACGGAGGAGGAACTGAAATGGAGACGTTTATGAAGAAGTGCACAAACATAATAAATACTCGTCATGAAAAGGCAGAGATAATTTTAAGTCAGGACACTGAGGGGAGCCCTTGTAAAGGTCATTGCCATCGATGTTAACTTTTGATATTTTAACTTGCTATCATGGCCATCTGACATGCCAAACAATATTGGGATTACCTTTCCTCTTTGGAATAAGGAACCTTGTCTGAGCATCAGCCTCCCACCCCTCAGCTACTGCAGCTGTAGAAGAGATGTACAACATGAACACATGGATAGAAAGAGGAACTTGTCCAGCTCAGTTGGTCTGTTTGTCAAAGGCATCCTTTTAGAATTTTAATCTTTAAGGGGAAGTCCATATTATGTTATTATCATTACTTTTGATCAAATAGCTGACGTTTCAAGTTAATTTCAATCACTGTATGCATACAACACATGTGTATGAGAATTTGCTGATGTCATGAACCTACATCCAATCATGTATCGATCCATGTTTTTAACCTGTTTTGTTTCGCATAAAGTACTATTTTTGCAATAACCCAGCAAGATAACTATATGAAATTGGGCAATAAATCCCTATCAAACAACAAAATGTTAAATCTGATACTACTACAAGAACAGTCAGGACGCAGAGAATTTAGAAGCAGCAGGCCCTGACTAAACTCTTCAGGTCCTCATTTAAACAACTGCAGCTTATAGTGACAAATAAATCGACACAAATATTTACTGCTGACCATAAGGATGCATACAGATTTGAAACTACAGGCCCGACACACAATCTACTTGCCACGTGGCTATGGGCAGGCACTTATTTTTCAAACACTGTACTAGAACAAGTCTAAATGAATCATTCACACAAGACAACAATCTTTTGTTCGCCAGGCCACATTGAATATTTAGAATTTCACACAAACACAGTGAAAAGTAAGAATCACACTACATGAGGCAGGCAGTGTCTTCATACTAGTCCGACCATTAGTCGTTCGGGGTAGCGTTTTAGGTTGACTTATTGTGAAAATTCAAATTAGGAAATTGCCAGAGGATTAAGAGAACAATGGGATCCGAGTGGGTTTGCATAACCGATAATAATCCAGAATCCGGTTTGGGGGAAATGAATTTGACCTTCCATGAGTACAACCAATGGTTAAAAATTATAACTTCAAGTGAGCTGTGTTCTGTTCTGTTGGATATAAAACAGAGATTCCTTCATCCTGTTTGTTCTGACATTTTAACACGGCTCATGCACAGACACGATAAATATCAATAGTTTTCTGTGTATCATTTTAGATGGACTTTCGGCATCCAACACGTTTCTTGTCAAGCTTGTTATTTTCTTTAACATAGCCAAAAGACTTCCAAACACTCGATTTTCCACCCAAGTTTGTCACAAACTCCACTTGACTGTCACCCTCCACCATTTTACTTTAAGAAAGATCAGTTGCTAAGCATCAAGGGCAGTTAACTCTAATCCTCACTTGGGTGCGTTCGTGAGCATGTTTTGGTGACTCAATCGCATGATACAGTAAATATAAATAGTAATAAATAATAAATATAATAATATAAACCTAACTGAAATCGATACTATTGATCGGAAACTGATTTAACGATCGATTTATTGACTTCCAGTGCTTACTAATAGCAATATATCGATATTTCGATTTATTGTGACACCCCTACTGAAATGTTATCTCACTATGTGAGGGAGGATTCATGTAGTTGGTGAGTAAGGGAGTGAGTTGGATTTAACGCCGCTTTTAACAGTATTCCAGTTATATCAAGGCATGTCAGCTTAAGTGGGAGGAAAGCCCGAAGTGATGCAGGTCTCAGACGAGCATGGGTATGGTGCTGACAAACCTAGAAACATAATCGGGGCGAACCGGAATTCGAACCCACAATCATAGGATTCTGGCGTGCCCAGGGAACACAGGGCAACTCTGCACTGAATCACGGCGCCTTAGACGACTGGGCCACCCGTGCCCCAGCTGGTGAGTAAGAGAATAGCTAATAATTGGCTATCTTGGATATGTACCACCAAAAACTGTAAGGCCACAGCATCAACTTTTATGTTAGATGATGTTGTCACCACAGTAATGTAGAATCACATTCAGAACAAGTCAAAATTGTAGGCTAGTTGAAAAAACTATAATGATTTTAACAGTGATTAATTATATTTATTAATAACCCACAGAAAAGCCTGAGATAGCCACTTTCTTTCAAGCAGCCATGTCCCTTATACAGTATATAAATAGGTGGGCTGAAATAGCTTCACTCACCTTTAACTGCATCGTTGACAGGGAGGCCAACAAATAACGACAGTTCATCAGCATTGATGGAGGAGTAAGCCAGTGCAACCAACTCAAATGCTCGCTTTCTTGCAGCTTCTAAAATTCAGTATGAAAACAAACATCAATACAATATGTCAAAACTATATTGTAATGCAGTTGACAGACAATTCAAGAGACCACAACAAAATTATCTCATTCTCCAGTATACAATTATCCAACACAAGTAATTCCAATTTCCATTCTTGTCAATTGTTGTGCCATATATGTTTGTTTGTTGTTTAACGCCGCACTCAGCAAAATTCCAGCTATATGACGGTGGTTTGTAAATAAACGAGTCTGGACCAGACAATCCAGGGGATTAACATCATGGACATCAATCTACGCTATTGGGATACAATGACATGCATCAACCAAGTCAGCGAGCCTGACCACCCGATCCCGTTAGCATGGTTAGTCGCCTGTTACGGCAAGGATGGGTTGCTGAAGACCAATTCCAAATCAGATCTTCACGGGGACCATATATGTCTGCAATGTGTAGTCTCTAAAGGATTCCGCCATAGTAAATTGTAGAATTATCTCTCATCAGCTGTAATACATTTTAGTGCAGGAATATGGAATTAATGACCACCAAACCCGAAATTAAAAAATGCTTAATAAAATGATTATATCTTAAATTTCTTCCCTCAAAATATTTTTACTAATTTTACTGAAATTTGTATCCCTATATGTTTTTTAATTGAATTATCATTTTGACAGCTGAGTCTTTTGTTTGGGAAAATAAATCTATTAATTAAATAAGTTACAAAAGAAGACTAACTATTATGATTGTCATTGTCAGTGTTGGGTGAGACACATTATACCCACCAAAATATAAAGGAACTTTTCAATGTTAAAGGTTGAATTTTCTAACTTTTGTTTTATCTTTCTTTATTTTATCACCAAATACGTGCAGTGATTAATCTGTTGCTGGGCCTGAAACAGCTTCATAGTGTACAAGTTTTATGTTGCAAACATGACAACAGAACTTGAAGAATGCTATTTACCAAACAAAGCCATCATGACAGGTTTAATGGGTTCCGACCATTCCTTCTTCACAGTCTCATACACTCCTGGATAATCTCGCTGCCACATCTTTTGGCCTATTATCCAGATGCTGGACAACTCTGGATTAGCCTACAAATGACACATCACACAACAAAATTCACACATATTATTCTGTTTCCATGCAATCTCATTAAAATCAGATCTAAGTTCTCAACGCTGCAAAACAAAGATCTGATCCAATCCAATTACGGGTCACGTCAGAACGACCTTTCGCAAACTTTGACCGACCACTGAAATGACTAACAAGCCAATTAGAAAGCAGCTTTCTCGAGCTTTACAGCACTTGTTTCAACCTGGCGACTTCCATTTCAGACTACGTTTGAAAAATATGTTGACACAGTTCTCGATTAAAATTTTAACTGAACAAACGAAACATTCTGGAATGTCTAATAGATGGTTGAGATTGTATGGCAGTGCTTCCCACGTACTGTGCAACACCTCCTCCATTCAAACGTTTATCCCACGGAAGTGAGAGATAGACGATAATTTTGACGGAATCAGTCGTACGGGCCATAACTGTCGTTCGGAATACGCCGTGTTAACGTTTTCGAGGTTGCATGATTAGAAAACACATTCAGACTGTCACTTTCATGATCTGGTAAGTGACGCTTTGATTGGTTGGATGAAAGGTCATTCTGATGTGACCCATAATGGGATGTCCTCAGATCTTTGTTTAGCGATAGCGAGAACTATGATCTGACTTTAATGAGATTGGTTGCTATGAGTGATACCTGTGCTTTTCACTTGTTGGAACTATTTATAAAGTATAACGAAAAAAAATTAAGCAAATTCAACTGCCTTAGAACAGGGAATATGTTTTAGCTTGTATGCAGTAGGTGTACAAAGTATATATTGGAGCAACAATCAAGACTTCTCAACCAAATAATTACTGACAACTCACCGACTTGATTGTTTGTGGAATTCTCTTCCATAAGAACTTTGCATTACACCTGAAAAAAATAATATTGTCTTACTGGATACTGATTACAAGTGTTACTGTAACCTATTTCTAACTTGAAATACGTTGTAACACAATGGTGACTAGAAAAAATCCATGATTCACTAGTCAACATGGTCATTGTCAATTTCATGTTAAATGCCACACAGGCTGCATTAGCAACACAAATAACATACGCCGATTGTGACAAGTAGTCTCACTACTACCAGCATTTGTGTATAACGTCATGTGTGTGACATCACAACTCCGGGTTTACCGCCATCTTGTCAAGTAAGTAAAGTATGTCCACCAAACACACTCTGTTTGTGGTGTCTTATGGAACCCCCCTGAAGACTTAAACACTGATCACGTGAAAAAATCACTAGAAATATAAACATATGAAATATCAGTGTGTCTTTGAACATGTTAAAGTTTAAACAGTGTTACCTTCACAAGCAATGTGTAGAGTGTAACACACTTGGCAACTTACGTGTCATTGTGGAGCAGATAGAGCCCCAACAGCTGCCCGTACACTTGAAAGGAAGCAACTCCTCCTGGAGCCTATGCAGAAGTTAAATACCATCAACATGATGAAAAGAAAATCAAAATATTCAATTTATACTTTCATTCAAGTTCATTGTTTAAAGATTTACATCACTGTGATTAAAAGTGGAATAAATTGTTTCATTTCATCAAGCTAATTCTTGAAATATTTCCAACCTGTTGACCATGATGCTAACAATTTGACATGTGTTTATTATGTGTTGATAGCACAAAAAAGGAACATGGCTATCAAGATATTTCAATCCAAAATCCAAACATAATGCAGAATGCAGAAGGCGTGAGATTATGGCTGATTCACTAGTGACAGGGAATCTACTTTCTTGCAAGTTAGATTTCTTATCATCATGATATTATTCCTCTTGTACAGAATGTTAGAAATAAGTCCTATTTTCAATCATAGTGCACATTCGTTACTACTTCGACAAACATATGTACATAATTTCTTTAACTGGCCTGTAGCACATGGATTCTCTTGTTGCTCATGTAAGTTTGGTCCTTGTCTAGTCTGTTGGGTTATCAAGCTTGTCAAGTATTTTCCTATCTTTCAGGGTTTTTATGTGCAGTAGTCATGGTAGTGCACTACCACATGGTTAGCTGTATTTTCCGGTATATTTTCCAAGGCTTTATGATAGGGATGCTCCAACTGGTTGCTAGCTGATGGGTTATACAGTCAGAGAACTGCATGATTTTGCCTTTTGACATGGTCACAGGTCATGGATTAACTAAAAAAACTTCTTTTTTTCTTTCAAAATACAGCTTTGTTCGTTTGAACATGTCTGGAGTGATTGTTTGTTTTGATAAAACCCTTTAATCTGTTAGAACCTTTTTATTTCTTAAATGTATCAACATTTTGGACTTGATGTCTTGTTCTTCCCTACCAAGAACCCCTATGTACTTTACATGTGTGGCCAACCACCTGGATCACAGAACCATCTTCTATAAAGTTCTTATTACACAACGTAAAGCCATACCAGTTTGTTGTTTCATAAGATTGTACACTTTATTCCAAGCAAACTCCACTGTCACTGGGCAGCCTACTAGACATGCTAGAGGGCGCCTACTACACTATTACGTCTATATTTGGATATGTTTCTTGTTTCCTGTATTTGGCGTATTTGCTTACCATGGCAAGTCATGCTTAATGAGGCCACGGTATTCACGAATAGAAACATATAACACTGGGATTCGGAAAATCTAATATGGGCTAAGGCCCCTGGGATAATGTTAGGCAGCCTGTGTTAATCGTGTTCATAATCTGTCGAATCAACATGATGAATTTCATAAAATGGCCATGAATACACAACAGCGCTTTTTCATTATCACCTTTGCCTTGAATTTCAACATGGCATGTCAACGAGTTTGAAATACATTGTAAATATGTGCCGACTTTCATGTGATAACAATACCTCTAGTTCCTGATTTTCCAAATCAGTTTGAAGTTTCTCAAAATTCATTTTCACCTCGACAGCCATCTTACTTCCGGTAAAGGAGATGCGCGGTGTAAGACCGACGAAATACTGATAGGTGAAAAAATGATTTATCATATCTATGTAAATTACCCAGTTAATCAACGTTTAAGAATAGTTAAATTCAATTTAGATATTTCACACCCGTGTTAATGAGATAATATTTAGAACCTTTCAACGAATCAAATTAGACTGTTTCTGCGGTCTTATGAAAGGTCATGGGCCACAGGAAGCACATGTAAACAAAGGAAGTGATCTTGAAAGTTTTTGAACTTTGCTGATTAAAATGGGTATTAATATGATCTTTCAATATAAATATTCTTTTTATAAGATAGTCGCAATATAGAACGATCTGTGTGCCATATGCAATACTGTTAATGTGATACATGTACATTGTAGTGATAAGTGACAAAGATGCTTGGTGCTTATTCGGCGTCTATATACAGCACTCAGCTGATAGGTCTACATGAGATATATGATATACTCATCTCTACATAGTGATGTAGAAATATGTATTTATGTGTACAATTTCACAATTGCTTAGTGACATGTGATCGGATTTTATGATCGATTAATGTAAGCGTTGGCATCATGCTGAATGATACACAGACAGGAACTTGAGATGATTGCTGATGACATTTTGATGGAAGCAACAGTATATTGCAGATAAAATAAAATATAGGCCAATCCCAATGTTCATGACATAATAATTTACCTGTTATCATCAAGGCAACAATAAAACATTTGACCATGATAAGAACTCTCATTCCTATATATTTCTGTCTTTATCACATTTATGTACAAAAGATGGACTTATGAAGTTATGGAGCACCTTTAGAATACATTTCCACAACTTCTCGTGAGGACGATCTCTGACGTAGGTCACATGTCTCAAGCAACCAGTTTTTGTGAGAATCCGTCTGACGCGAACCCGCAACCTTTGGATTGTTAGCCATAGGCCGGGGACGGGTAACTCGGGTACCCGTCTTGGGTGGGTACTGAGTAGGACCCGGGTACCCACAGGACTACTGTGGTTAGTCACGGGATATATTGTTTCATGACGAAAAAGCACTATAATTTTAACTACATGGTTACACGACAATGTTAAGACTCTAATGTTTGCATTTCATCATGACTTAAATATGTTTAAACAAAGGTAAAACTTCGGTCAACTTCAGTGTCTGCATGACCACATCATTTTATACATGTATCTAAAAACATTCTGCCAGGGCTACTGTCAAACTATTCCCAATCGGACATTGTATACCTATCTCTTGACACCAACAGCGGGTACCTGGGTAGGGTCGGGTAATAGGGGTGTGGGTACCTGGGTAGTAAATTTGGACTCGTCCCAGCCCTAGTTAGCCAACAGCTAACCGACTGAGCTACGTCCACACTGTGAAACAAAGTGCAAATTTACCTAGTCATGACTATGACGTTACAGAACTGAACAAAAAGGGTCGAATAGGTGACGGACACTTACAAAGGTTGCGGGTAGGCATGGTGTCTCGTGACTTTAGTCTACGGACACTTACGAATGATCCCGATGCCATTTGGCACATTCGTCCTATTCCGTAATCTACAAGATACCGAGTGGTGAGGAATAAGCCGATATGAAGCGAATTGAAAACGGCTCCAGAAGTCAGACGTCAAACTCGCGAGTACGCATGAATGATATGGTATTTAATAATTCGTTGGGTGATTTTTGTGACAGAAAAGTGTGGTAGGGAACACTGTAAGGATGATGTGGATAATAGTAAGGAACGAGGGAGGCATGAGCATGGCTAGTGACGACACAACACTGAGTTCTCTTTTGAATCAGTACTGAAAAAATGTAGCGGGTGAAAGTGGCTTGTGTGAATGTTCCAGGACAGTTTCCAGTCGACACAAAACCATTGCATCCTTTTTACTCGACGTTTTTGTGTGAAGAATAATAGGAGCCTCTATAGAATCTATAACAGCCACTAAACGAGTACCTAACCCTAATGATCGTTAAGGGGTGATTGATCGTAGGGGATCCAAGGGCTAAGGATAGAGTTCGGGGTAACCTACCCTAACACTGGCGACATTTGGATGTGATATCCCTAATAAACTGCATTCTTGTGCATAATAATGAAAATTAATGAACCGGAAACATAATGTATGTATATTAGTTCCCATTTATCACCATTTTAGCTACTTGAATTACGAGAAATACGAAATAAAACATATATAAAAAATAAAAGTGCTTTCGTAAACAAGTGCTTGTTCTAAAATGCGCCACCGCAGGCTCTATTTAGTAAACAAATATTCAAAACTCTCAACACCGCTGGGGGCGGTCGGGTAGCCCAGTGGTTAAAGCGTTCGCTCGTCACACCGAAGACCCGGGTTCGATTCCCAACATGGGTACAATGTGTGAAGCCCATTTCTGGTGTCCCCAGCCGTGATATTGCTGGAATATTGCTAAAAGCGGCGTAAAACCATACTCACTCACTCAACGTATTCAATGACATTGCGTGTAGAGATGATAGATCACTGCGAGGAGCTTATGCACACTCAGTGGCCCCTGACATCACAGGGCATTGTTTCGCCGACTGGCAACAAAATACTACAAATTACGTCATAGGGTATTGTCACGTGTTTGAAAAGTTTGTGGTACTGTATTCTAAAGGTAGGCCTGAAGTTATATGTTGTTATTATTAAAGTCAACAATGTACGCTGAGCATTGCTGATGGGCACAGTTTTATTTTACCTTGTATTTTTAATTCCAACCACAACCTATGTCTGCTGAGTATTTATGAATGTATCGAAAGTGGGAACTTGTGATTATCATCTACATGAAATGATATTAGCATGATTAAATTTCTAAAATAAGTATTCTAATATGCTAAATTTTCAACAGAACACACAGACGATACATCCAGCCCTCGTGGAGGAAGTGTGAAGGATGATGAAGAAGACTATGATGATTCTGAAGATGAGGAAAATGCCCAGAGTGACAGGAAGGCACGTCAGGCCATCACAGGGAGAAGTGTTACTCTCCTTACACTCATGGAAGACAAAGTCATTGAGGCTGGAGAAGGAGTTCTTTCTATTGATTACCTGGTGAGGAGACATAGTTGAGAACATTTTAACATTATGAATAGTTTGCAAAATACAAAATGTATAGTTACACCAGACACATTTTACCCATGAAGATCCGGTGTAGAATAGGTCTTCAGCAACCCATGCTTGCCATGAAAGGCAACTATGTTTGTCGTAAGAGGTGACTAACGGGATCGGGTGGTGGGGTTCCCTGACTCGGTTGATGCATGTCATTGATCCCAATTGCGTGATTCGATGCTCATGATGTCAATCACTGGATTGTCTGGTCCAGACTCGATTATTTACAGACCTCCGTCATATAGCTGGAATATTGCTGAGTGCGACGTTAAACAACAAACAAACAAAGAACCAGACATATTTTGAACAGTATTGCATTTAATTCGTAAAATGTTGCAACATAGAAAATCCACCATGGGGATTCTAGGGAAGATTTGTTCCCCAGCAACCTATGCTGGTTGTAATAGGCTACTTATCAGTACCCAGCCTCAGGAGTCTTGGCTGACAGTGTGTCATCATTGCTCATAATATCAACCACTGGATTGTTGGTCAAGATTTGATTATTTTCAAGCTACCACCATTTAGCTGGAATATTGCTCAGTGTGTTGGTCATTAACTCCGTAGGTAATCAGAAGTTACAATTTTTATTCAAGTATCCTAACAAATAAATATTTTGTCACATGTTTACCATTTTTATTTATTAGGGCCAGAGGTTTGTAGCAGATTTACTGCCAAGTGGTAAAATTCGAAGTCAAGAAACCACTGAAGTTTTCAACACTCCTAGTGCCTGGGCCATTTTCTGTAAGAAACTTGTCAATCCTGCCAAGAAGTCAGGTTGTGGTTGGGCTTCCGTAAGTGACACATTTCTAGTTATCCACCTTTGATCTCGGTCCCATAAACTGTTTCCTCAGATTAATATTAACTCGCAAGACATATGATATATTTTATGAATTGCTAAAAAAATGACTGGTTATGAGTGTCACATAGTGCACTTCAAAAGACTTCCAAACGAAAAGTAACAGTATATATTTGGCAATGTCAATTTAGAGGTCTTACATATAACATGTGTTAAGGATGCGTAAAGATCCGTGTAGAGAATAGGTTTACAGCAACCCATGTTTGTCGTAAGAGGCGACTAAAGGGATCGGGTGGTCAGGCTTACTGACTTGTTTTATGCATGTCATTGTATTCTAATTGCGTAGATTGATGCTCATAATATCAATCACTGGATCATCTGGTCCAGACTCTATTATTTACAGACCACCGTCATAAAGCTGGAATATTGTTGAGTGCTGCGTTAGACAACAAACAAACAAACAAACAAGCAAACATGTGTTAAGATTTCAGGTTATGAAATACTCAGTAACACCTTTAATTGATTGGCCTTTTCCAGGAACTTCTTGAAGAGTTAGGGGGGCACGGGTGGCCCAGTCGTCTAAGGCGCCGCGATTCGCTGTGCAGAGATGCGTCCCTTGGGCACGCCAGAAACCTATGATTGTGGGTTCAAATCCCGGTTCGCCCCGATTATGTTTCTAGGTTTGTCAGCACCATACCCGTGCTCGTGGGTTTCACCGAAGTGATAAACGTCTGAGACCTGCATCACTTCGGGCTTTCCTTCCACATTAAGCTGACACGTCGTGATATAACTGGAATAATGTTAAAAGCGGCGTTAAACCCAACTCACTCATTCTTGAAGAGTTACCTAATTTCTGAATATATTTGCTGAACATGCAATGTATCTTTATATAGGTAAAGTACAGAGGTCGCAAACTGGACACATGGAAGATGGCTTGGTGTCGGAAACAACGTCCAAATAGTCCATATCGAGGAAACAGCCCGTACCGTGGAACCAGCCCATACCGGGCCAACAGTCCTCATCATTCTGTGGTACTGTTGTGTTACTGTTGTATTCATACATGTTTAGTGGTCTGCGGCTGGCTAGACATGAATTATCTCCCACAGATTATTGTTCAATGTTTGTTAATCACTTCTTGTGTGACAAGCGTGCAGTCAGTTGTTCCTCCTTTTACATGTTGTACCTGTTTTGAACAATAACTTCCTATGAAGGCATTAACCTTATCGGTTTTTAGAAAATGTACAGTAGTTTTTTATACTCAAAAGAAATTAATCTGACCAAAATAATTTTCATTGCCAGAGGAGATGTTTGTAGACTTGCCTCACCCGACGCTACACAGTGCTTTAGCTTCCCTACCTTTTACAAACAGACAGTACTGGAACAGAGATAGTGGAAACAGACTATAGCCCATGCCCCGACACACTCAAGTCATCCACCTTGGCCAATACACCCTTATATTCTACTCTGTCTGCCTTTGCCAGAAGTGTGTTTTGGACACTCATCTTACCTTAGATTTTCATCAGTTTTTGATGATTTCTAGTGGTTTAATAGCCATATATCCTTACCCTGATATATATATCCACTTAATTGAGAATGTATTCTATACTTTGTGTAAACGTCCAAAGTCATCTTTGCCCTTACTGCTGGCCTGTGCGCTCTTTTGAAAATTGATGCTCTGATTGGTCTGTTATATCAAGTGAAGAATATGCTTCTTACAGAAATGCTCTTGTTAAGCGATCCAAACACCTTGCAAAGGTCCTCCTCCATTGCCGTCTCTCTTCCGCCATCGGAGTGGGCCCCTCGCCTCCTACTTAGACTTGGGAGACCTCCTCTACGTCAACACTGATGCCTCAAGGTCTTCCACCCAGTCCATGTGCTCTGTACCGGTGGATTTTTTTTAATTCAGCATTTGTCCATGCTTTTTGGGAACAACTGCTTCAACATCGCCCTGACGACCTGGTTTTGCTGCCTTTTAGCACCAGTCGCCAGCGCCCTACCGTCACCGTATTTTCGTTTTCATGCCTCGTCAGACACTTCTTCCCACTTGGATGCTTCACCCTGAGGTCTTTTCAGTTCTTGTGCAACCACCTGGGCACTCCCAATGTAGATCCCTTCGCCATGGTGAGCAACAACTAACTGTCTGTGTACAGCTCTACATTCCCGGACCCAGCTGCTTGGGAGCTAGACAGTCCCTTTGAAGATCTAACCATTGAGACTTTGTTTTCTCCAGGCACTTGCCACGGCGGCCAGGGTTTGTGAGCTTCATGCTCTTGGTGTCACCCGGGTCAGATTCGATCATCGACCTAATGGCCAGGTCTTTCTTGGGACTTTGTCACTAAGAATCAGCTTCCAGGTCAACCTGATCGGCAGTTTCGCATCTCGCAACTTTCAGAGATTGTTGATCCAGACCATGATGTGGAACTCGCCCTCTGTCCTGTTCGAGCTCTCCATCAATATCTTCAGATGTCCCAGCAGTGTTGACGACACGCCAGCTTTTGTTCCTTCCTGTTTCCAGCCTTCTCTCAACAGAGCAGCTGGCCAACTCCAACACCATTGACCATGCCCTCAAAGAAGAATGAGGTCGCCCTTGGTCCCACTGGCTGTGCTGGCACCTGCTGAAGAGGTGGTACCACACCTTGTTTCAGCTCCCCTATAAACATTCTGAGTTGCTGGGTACTGTTCCAACAGAACCTGGTGAAGTATTGGTACTGTATTACCCCTCTCTCGAGCAGGATGTGGAACACCTTGCTTTTGCCCATTGTCAAGCAATGCTCTCTCTACCTTCAGACCACTTTTTTGTTCCGTCATATACCCTAGCCTGCCGAGGATGGAGACACTACCTCGTTGGCACCTGGAGGGAACCTTGCCTGACACTGTCACAGTGCTTCCTCAGCATGACTGGCGCTTATCATCGTAAGCCAGCCTTCCATGTCAGTCGAATAAAGCACTGTGTAACGTCAGGTAAGGTAAAACATTAGCATTTCGGAAGGCCCACCTGCACTGCGTCAGCCTCGTGAAAAATACAAGGGAGTATGGGTCAACTTGTGGGTATCAGGGCACAGACTATAGTTTGTTTCGACTGTCTCCCTGTTCTAGTACTGTCTGTTTATTAAAGTGAGGTTAGTTTAAACTTTAGCGTCATGTAAGTATGAAAACATTGCATTTGAAAAGAGGTCATTTTAGCCTGCAGCCACAAAAAATAATATATCTTTTCATTTAAATTTTGAAAAATATTTATTGCATATATAGAACAGGGGAATTGCCCTTATTGTTTTATTTTTTCACTCAAAGTTTGAAAGGCAACATTTTCATTAACAGTCAACAGTGTGATTCACATGAAGCAAGAATGTTTGGTTATTTGGTGTATTTCATCTTCAGTCTCCAGGTTCAGCATCAACAGGTGAGAATGGCTGCAATGGGGACTCAGCATCCCGTGTTAATACACCTAAACTCCTGGAGGAGCTGCAGTCAGATGTCAAGGGAAGCAACTCCTCTCCACTTCCTACACACGGCAACACCTCACTGACTAATGGTGCCTCAAGTTTAAAAAGGTAATTTTGATATTTATTCCTTGAACTCATTTGGAATACAATTCCTGTACGTGACCAAAGGTTGATGTCCGGAAAATATACTTCAAATGTTTATGTTGTGGTGTATTAATTTGCTGTTGTACAATTAATACCCGGTCTACAATAGGAGTTTTTATTATCAACATGGTTACTCCGTTTAATGCATGTATCTTGGTGTGGTGCGCATTATGTTGACTATGGTTGCTATTGGCTGGTATCTACTACATGTTCACTGAACTAAAACAATGTATTCAATCAAAATCTTCCCATTGCAGGCCATTTTATAGTTTCTTCCATGAAGAAGTACAAGAGGAAGGTGAGGAGGACTTACTTAATTCTTGACCCGTGAAGATCCGGGGTAGAATAGGTCTTCAGCAACCCATGCTTGCCTTGAAAGGCAACTATGCTTGTCGTAAGAGGCGACAAACGGGATCGGTTGGTCAGGCTCGCTGACTTGGTTGATGCATGTCATCGATCCCAATTGCGTGGATTGATGCTCATGATATCAATCACTGGATTGTCTGGTCAAAACTCGATTATCCACAGACCACCGTCATATAGCTGAAATATTGCTGAGTGAGGCGAAAAAAACTTGTTAAATTCTTGTCAGATATCTGTATGTTCTGAGCCTACTGAAAATCTCAGAAATTTTCCAAACAACACTTACTTAAAAAAAAGAACAAAGTTTGAAATTTAGGTGTTGGGGTCAGTTATACTGACGTTGAGCCTACCTGTCCTTGTTTTAACCCCATTAATGATGAGCACCAGGCAGGGTAACAACACGTACCTCCTCCTTTTAATGTCTGTTGGTATGATGCAACCAGGGATCGAAGCCACCAACCTTCCTCTCTCCGGGCAGATGCTCTGTTCACTAGATCCCAGAGGTGGTCCAATATGTGCAGAGAGTGGAGGAACCTGGTGGTTACAGTGTTAGCTCATCACACCAAGGGCCCTGGTTCAAGTCCCACTTGACCGCCTCCGTGGTCTAGTGGTAGAGTGCCGCCCGGAGAGCGGAAGGTCCAGGGTTCGAGCCCCGGCCGCATCATACCAAAAGACATTAAAAGATGGTACTTGTTGTTACCCAGTCTGGCACTCAGCATTAAGGGGCTAAAACAAGGACTGGTCGGCTCGGGGTATTCACGTTAAACTGTGGCAAAGTGCATGCATGTCGCTATATAAGTGCAATAATCTTGGACACGACGTTAAACCCCATTTCACCTCACTCGAGTCCCCCTTTTGAATAATGTGTGTCTTCCATTCTTGGTGATTGATATAAGGTCGAAAGAAGCAGAAAATTCCACTTCCTCACTGCACCATGTGCATCAAATTGTTAGGTAATATGCCAGTTCAACGTTACACAAATGTATAAAAGGAGGACAGTTCTACAGTAGGAAAATTTCTACTGGGGATTCAGGCAGATTAGATCCCCAGTACCCCATGTTTGTCATAAGAGCCAACTGATGATCTGATGGTTACAATGTACAATAGATCTAAGATGCGTAAATGTGTTGAGAAATAGCCACCTGTTGATTGTTAAAGAGCTTGCATGACAAAAAGAAAACCTATTATCAATACAGTGTTCTTCCTTCAGCCTTGAACCTGTCCTTGTCAGGACCCTTAGTGTCAAAGGAGAACCGACAGAATTCAGACCAGAACAAGAACTTTGTTCCGGACAACGTCCACATGCCCGGCAGTGGCCCTTTTACCTGCCGAGCATCCATCAAATACACCGCTCTTGGGAAGAGGAGTAACGACAGGTATGTGTACAAATAGTGTCGGCAATAGTCACAGTCCATGACATTGTATTCAGGGTTACAGTAGCATACAAATAGTGTTGGTTATAGTCATCGTCCATGACATTATATTCAGAGTTACAGTAGTGTACAAATAGTGTTGGCTGTAGTCGTAGTCCATGACATTGTATTCAGAGTTACAGTAGTGTACAAATAGTGTTGGCTGTAGTCACAGACCATTGAGAGTTACAGTAGTGTACAAATAGTGTTGGCTGTAGTTGTAGTCCATGACATTGTATTCAGAGTTACAGCAGCGTGCAAATAGTGTTGGCTGTAGTCACAGACCATGACATTGTATTGAGAGTTACAGTAGTGTACAAATAGTGTTGGCTTTAGTTGTAGTCCATGACATTGTATTCAGAGTTACAGCAGCGTGCAAATAGTGATGGCTATAGTCACAGACCATGACATTGTATTGAGAGTTACAGTAGTGTACAAATAGTGTTGGCTTTAGTTGTAGTCCATGACATTGTATTCAGAGTTACAGCAGCGTGCAAATAGTGTTGGCTATAGTCACAGACCATGACATTGTATTCAGAGTTACAGTAGTGTACAAATAGTGTTGGCTTTAGTCACAGTCCATGACATTGTATTCAAGGTTACATTAGCATACAAATAGTGTTGGCTGTAGTCGTAGTCCATGACATTGTATTCAGGGTTACAGTAGCATAGTGTTGGCTATAGTCACAGCCCATGACATTGTATTCATAGTTACAGTAGCATACACACCCGTGAAGATTCAGGTAGAATAGGTCTTCAGCAACCCATGCTTACCCTAACTATGCTTGTCGTAAGAGGCGACAAAGGGGATCGGGTGGTCAGACTCGCTGACTTGGTTGATGCATGTCATCGATCCTAATTGCATGGATCGATGCTCATGATGTCAGTCACTGGATTGTCTGGTCCAGACTCAATTATTTGCAGACTGCCGTCATATAGCTGGAATATTGCTGAGTGTGGCATTAAACAACAAACAAACAAACAAGTAGCATACAAATAGTGTCGGCAAGGGAGGGGGGCAGTTTGACCAAAACAGATAATTTGTAAGACCATGGTTTAATATCTGTTTTCAAAGTGAGGTCAACATGCCCACCCGTAGACATGGCAGAGGTATTGGCTGTTTTCATATTTGAAAACATGTCTGAGGCTATTTTCAAGAATGACAACAGGATTGATATATCTAGGCAATGGTTTTCCGATGTTTGATACTTTCAAATTCAAGGTGTTTCCACCATGTGTCCAGTGTAACATTCACAACTGTAATTTACTTAGGATAGAACAGGTTGGATGATAGTACCGATATGTTTTTCATACTGATATGATTTGATATGTTATCTTTTCAGAGACCCCAACTCCCTTATAGAATGTGAAAACTTTGCTGACTATGGAAAGATACAACCTTTCACTGTGTCCATTACATCCAATGCAATGTTAGTCATGGTAGGTGAACTTCCCATTGACATCATTCTGGGCTTGTAATAGGGAGACATGTTGCATCATTGAGGTGCCAGCATCCGAGTAGGTTCTCATTCCATATTTGCTCTGATTGTCATCCTTGGTCTGTCAGCATCATACCCATGTACCTGGGTTTCACACCCCATGGGGGGCGGTGGGATAGCCTAGTGGTTAAAGCGTTTGCTCGTCACGCCGAAGACCCGGGTTCGATTCCCGACATGGGTACAATGTGTGAAGCCCATTTCTGGTGTCCCCTGCCGTGATATTGCTGTAATATTGCTAAAAGCGGCATAAAACCATACTCACTCACTCACTGCCCAAGGGGATTCCGAACTAGAATTGATCCCCAGCAACCTATGCTTGTTGTAAGAGTCAACCTAATGGATCGGGTCATCAGGCTTTGTGACTTGTTTGACGACTTGTTAGTGAATTTGACTTAGGTGTTCATGATTGATTATTTATCAGTTGCAATCATATAACTGCAATATTGCAGAGTTCAGGGTTAAACAAGAAACAAACTCAGGTTTCACCAATGTGGTAAACCTCTATAACATCACTTTGGACTTTCCTTTCTCTTGAGATTTCTCTGTTCAAAGTGTCGTTCACCCAATCATCAATACTTCACAGGTTTGCATACACTGTTTGTAGTCACTGGTTTTAATGATAAGACATTAGACTTAGCCAGGTTCCAGTTGGAGCAAAACCGGCAAGGACCTGTGAACACTCAGAATACACGTCAGTCTTTCTAGTGGGACATGTGCCACAGCCTTGTGACCGTCTGCTCTACATATTGCTTCAATATTTTGCACAATCTTAATGCTCAGGGATCATTGGTCTTCTGATAGTAATTAACAGCCTCATTTCATGACTTCACTAAAAATAAATACATGACACTACTGTTCCACAAGGCAATCATATGTATTAGCGGATGATGGGAGAATGTATCGATATACTAAACTTGTGATGTGTTGACAATGTGTTGACTACTGTTAACCAACTCACTGTTTTCCAACACATTTTAAGTTCCCTGTAATTATTATAAAATCTGTTTAATGTCCAAAGATTTCACACATATATAGTTAAATGTTTTATTCACTAATCACTATTTATCTATCAATGATCATATCCCCATGGGGATTCTGGGTTAGAATTGGGTGACAGCAACCTGTGTTGGTCCTAAGGAGTGACTTGATCATTGATTGATCATTGTGTGTCAGACACCTTGTGTGTCGGGTCCTTGTGTATCAGGTCCTTGTGTGTTGGGTCCTTGTGTATCAGGTCCTTGTGTGTCGGGTCCTTGTGTGTTGGGTCATTGTGTGTCCGGTCCTTGTGTGTCAGTCACCTTGTGTGTCGGGTCCTTGTGTATCAGGTCCTTGTGTATCAGGTCCTTGTGTGTCGGGTCCTTGTGTGTCAGATCCTTGTTGTTGGGTCCTTGTGTGTCCGGTCCTTGTGTATCAGATCCTTGTTGTTGGGTCCTTGTGTGTCGGGTCCTTCTGGTTGGGTCCTTGTGTGTCCAGTCCTTCTGTGTCGGGTCCTTCTGTGTCGGGTCCTTCTGTGTCGGGTCCTTGTGTGTCGGGTCCTTGTGTGTCAGGTCCTTGTGTGTCAGATCCTTCTGTGTCAGGTCCTTCTGTGTCAGGTCCTTCTCTGTCGGGTCCTTCTCTGTCGGGTCCTTGTGTGTCGGGTCCTTGTGTGTTGGGTCCTTCTGTGTCGGGTCCTTCTGTGTCAGGTCCTTCTGTGTCAGGTCCTTGTGTGTTGGGTCCTTGTGTGTTGGGTCCTTGTGTGTCAGATCCTTGTTGTTGGGTCCTTGTGTGTCCAGTCCTTGTGTGTCCAGTCCTTTTGTGTCAGGTCCTTCTGTGTCAGGTCCTTGTGTGTTGGGTCCTTGTGTGTCAGGTCCTTGTGTGTCCAGTCCTTTTGTGTCAGGATCTTGTGTGTCAGGTCCTTCTGTGTCAGGTCCTTCTGTGTCGGGTCCTTCTGTGTCGGGTCCTTGTGTGTTGGGTCCTTGTGTGTCAGGTCCTTGTGTGTCCAGTCCTTTTGTGTCAGGTCCTTGTGTGTCCAGTCCTTTTGTGTCCAGTCCTTTTGTGTCAGGTCCTTCTGTGTCAGGTCCTTGTGTGTTGGGTCCTTGTGTGTTGGGTCCTTGTGTGTCAGGTCCTTGTGTGTCAGTCAACTTGTGTGTCAGTCAACTTGTGTGTCAGTCACCTTGTATATGAACCATCTCATGTTGTTATAGGACTTCCACAGTCATTTAACCAGCAGTGAGGTGGTCGGCTATCTCGGAGGGCGATGGGAGACACAATCACAACGTAAGTGAGCTATTATGGATTGTTTTGCCTTGAGGTTTTTTTATAAGATGAAAAAGGATTTTTTGTTTCGAAACCGAAGGGTTGGTTGTAGTATGTTGTAGGCAGTAAAATTACCTGAGAGAGGATTTTGATATTTTGGACCCATCCCTTTTACAATGCTGGATCTGCCTTTGGATCCCTCAAGCTGATAATTAATAAGAATCATTATCTGGTGTGGGAACGGTGTGTATGGATATCTCAACATAACATACTTGTTCTAACTTTAAGACATATCACCCTATTTCAGATGTCACAATACTGGAGGCTTTTCCCTGCCGTTGTCGTCTCGGTGATAAAGATCGTGCACCTGGTATTGAGGAAGAGGTGGGTGTAGTTTTATCTGCGTAAAATGTGAAATTCTAATTACTGAAATAACAGCTATTTTCAGTTGACAATGATGACTTTTCACTGCATTCTTGATGTTAACAAAGGGACACAGTTGCCCACTTATCACATTTTCTGTGTGTGCAGATTTGCATGACGTAGCCATACCTGGATTCCAGGACAGGTTCTTACAAAACAAGGATCATATTCTGGCTGAAACCGGTATCTTGTCACTGGTTCAACAAGAATATCCTTGTGCTTGTAGACTTGCATCCTACATTAAGCTAACACACTGTCATGCAATTGACATACTTTTGATAGAGGTGTTGAACCCTATTTTTTCAAGCACTATTATAAGCTTGGTGAAACATATAATCTTGAAACTGAATAATCAATTTTTTCTGAATGAAATAGTCCCAACTGAGAAAACTTCCACAGGGCTTGAAATAAATGTTAATCCCAACTCGGATAATTCCCTTTCACTTGAGGGTAGTATTTAATAAAGCCAGAAGACTTTGGATAACTTTGCAGTCAGGTCAGAAACTGGTTCCCAGTATGAGTATCGGTGGTCAGACTATGTGACTTCATAGATTGTGTGCCATCTTTATTCATACTCAATATCTTGAATTGTTCTTCATACTATCAGTCACTGGTTTGCCTGGTCTCAACATAGTTATTGTGCAAGCTGTATTTACCAGTTACGTTGCTGGAATTTTGGAGCAAAGAAACATTCATTCTTCCATTCTCAATCCACTCGACATTCCCTCCTCAACCAACACAGGTGAACAGTGTCATGTACCTGTATGATGTGTTTGTGGTTTCAGATCCGCCGGACGATGAGTCGGTCAGGTCTACAGTTGGTGGGTTGGTACCACAGTCATCCCAACTGTCAGCCGGACCCATCCCTGAAAGATCTCGACTGTCAGATGACGTACCAGCTCCGCATGAAGGGATCTGGGTCCTCGTACCACCCATGTCTGGGTTTTATTGTGTGTAAGTCTCCTTCACACCAGTTTGCTGTCAGCACTGTGCTTTAGACTTGCCTCCAACATTACTCTGACATACAGTAAGGCTAAAAAAAATAATAGTCTTGGTTCTCAGGCATCACCCGCATCATCATAAAGTTCGCCGCACGTTTCATTTTTAGTTCCATTTTTAAAAGATATATAAAAATCCTTTAGTCAAATTCTGTGTACTATTGCAATATTTTACTCAAGGAATACATTTATGTAGGGAGGCCCTTTCCCAGATTGATAGTACACAATTGTTTATCTGGTTACACAACTGTTTATTTGGTTACATACTAGTTTGAACACCCCCCACCCCCAAAATTTTAAAATGAAACATTGCCTGAGAACCAATTCTTTTATTTTTTTAAACCTAATCCCTGTTATTTTATTGACGATTCAAAGTATGGCAGTTATGCTATATGTGTCCATTCTCTGACAACTAAGGTTTGTTTCAAGATGGTAATATGATTATGATTGCTGTGAATAAAGTGAGTTGGTGCTGTGGTGGTATGTGGTAAAGCGGACCCTATGGAACAGGGTAAACAGAAGATGTAAGTGTATCGGAGGGAATGAGGTGAAGTGAGCATGTCGTTTCACACATGACAGACTTAATGTAAACAATTATTATGGAATGAAAATGTGACCAATAGTAATAAGGTAGACTACAAACATAATTCCCAAGTCGAGATATTCAATGAACATATTGTGTAACAACAGGATTAACTTCATCATAATTAAGTATGGATTTGTTGATATGCAGTGACCAATGACATAAAGATGTGTGTTTGTGGGGAAAATGATAAATTTATGGAAACCATTGAATACCCATGGCTTAACCGAATCCACATTATGAAGAAGAGCATTATGGCGAGGGATCACTGTACCAAGATAACAAATGAAGTACTGTTGAAAGCAGCACTCAACCCCATTTACATTTCTGCTACAGTTTTCAAAGCTTTCTGGGTGATTTTATGATGTTTGTTTGTTTTTTAACTTCACACCCAGCAATATTACAGCTATATAACGGCGGTCTGTAAATAATGGAGTCTGGACCAGACAATCCAGTGATTGATATCATGAGCATCGAGCCATGCAATTGGGATACGATGACATGCATCAACCAAGTCAGCGAGCATGACCACCTGATCCTGTTAGTCGCCTCTTACGACAAGCATAGTCGCCTGTGATATTATGAAGCAGATATTAGGTCAATGTTGAATTTTCATGCCAGAATTAGACAGATACATATGTTGTACCTATTCTTATAGTTTCTTTCTGTAGTTATGACAGGGGAGTCCTGGGCCCACTTGCACAAAACGATCTTAGCACTACGACTATTGTAAGCCTATGTTAAAGTATGGGGTTTACAATCATCTTAGCGCTAAGATCACTTTGTGCAAGTGGGCCCTGGATGTTTCTGTTATTCTAGAAGTGTGGTTCTGTATGGGGTCAGTTTTTGCCAGTAGCTGTATCTATGTGTTCTATCTACAGCACCGTATGATGTGAAGCCGGAGAAGAATGAGGCAGTGTTTCAGGCATACTGGGTCATGCCTCCCCCAGATGTGAGTAGCACTAACATGGTAGGTGCATTGAATACATCCTCAAGCCCTCCTAAACAATGTGTCCAATGTTTTTTACTGGAAAGACTAAATTTCCCTTAACTGTGCGGTTGCGTACTTAGGGCACGCCAGAAACCTTTGGGTGATGGGTTTGAATCCCAGTTTGCCCTGAGGATGTTTCTAGGGTGTCGGTACCATACCTGTGGTTGTTGTTTTCACCAAAGACATTGAAGACTAAACACTAAACACTAAACACTTCTTCCCACATTAAGATGACATGCTATGATACAACTGAAATAATGTTTCAAAGCAGCGTTAAACCCAACTCACTTGCTCACTAAAATGTCTTTCACATGTGTTTTGTTTTTTTACCAGCATCACCAAGCGTCAGACTATGGAATTCCCATGTGCATGACATACACTGTGTACCAAAATCCCTCCTTATCTGAAGAGCTCCTCACAGAAATGGTAAGGCTCGTCCTACTTAGAGAGAAGCTGTGCTCCATGTTCTGGTGTCTGTCTCAGTGTTGTAATCAGTGCCATGTATGTAACTGAGGCCCTGTCACTGTGAAAACTGGGTAGTCACTACCTGCTAGGTCCTGAGATGTATCTGTTATTGCAATGATAAAGGTTTTGAGGTGATAAAAAATAGACATTTTTTTCATTTTCATGATACCATTTATGTCAATTCTTTGTTTAATATGAATTTGAAAGGAAACCAGAGTAATAAGTTCCCTGGTGTTATCAGTCATGTTATCATCATGATCATGTTATCAGCTGGTTATGTTATCATGTTAAGTTATCAGTCATGTTATCATCATGATCATATTATCATCTGGTTATGTTATCATGTTAAGTGGGCGGTCGGGTAGCCTAGTGGTTAAAGTGTTCGCTCGTCATGCCGAAGACCCGGGTTCGATTCCCGACATGGGTACAATATGTGAAGTCCATTTCTGGTGTCCCCCGCCGTGATATTGGTTGAATATTGCTAAAAGCGGCGTAAAGCCATACTCACTCACTCACTCATGTTAAGTTATCAGTCATGTTATCAGCTAGTTATGTTATCATGTTAAGTTATCAGTCATGTTATCACTCTGTCAAGTGCATTGTTATGATGAGGACATTCTGGTTTTCAGAAAAAACTGGTTGACTTTTACAAATGTGCTCCTGACAGAATAAGGTTTAAAGAAAACTGGGTGAATGCAAAACCCTTCTTGGAGAAAGTGAAGGTTTGTACAGTTTTATGTGTCAAACATAACCGGGAAAGTAGCTTCATCACTCCTCTGAAATTTTTAATGATTGTATTATTCTTGTCATTTCTTGTGAATGAATTTCAGAGGTTGAGTAACTTTATCATCAACTCTAAGTTTGCACAGAATTTCACTGTGCCATTGGAATCAAGGACAAAACAAAGCCAAGTTAGTTGTTCCAGCATATTCATAATAATAGAATACACAATGGCAATAAAACACACTGGATAGTCAAGGATGGGTATGACCTGTCATTTTATGTCATTAAACCTCCGTTTACTAATGTTCCATTGAGGTTGGTTGTGTCAAAGTTTTACCATTGACCTGTTTTAAACCAAACAAGACCGATAATATCCACTAAAATGTTGATAACGTGCAGGGGTCCCATTAATAAACATTGTGGCTGTATTTAAACCTCTAGAACATGTAAAATACATCACAATATGAACGTCCGAAGATGTTTAATTGGGCTCTTTTGACTTACCAGACTTTGAGCCGAGAGATTTATTTTCTACATACCACTCATACTATTGGTAGATGACAGGAAGAAGAAAGGGCTTGTTTGCTAAAATGGAATTGATGGAAAATTATAGGTGAATACCCTGGTTTAATGTCACGTTAAAGAAAATCTTATACTCAAAGCATCATTATTATTGATAGTTTAATTATTGCTTTGTACAACCCGTTTTTGTGCCGCCATTAATCTTATGAAACATTACAAACTTAATGAACCCATTAGCTAATGGAGGTTTGATAAATCCCAAATCCATTTTGTCATGTGGTACTCTCTCATTTGCTAACTTGTAACTAACTTGCAGACCTGTTTGTTTTAGGATTCTCTCAGCGCCCGACTCCCACAAGACTTGATAGACAAGGGAAGCTTCTTGGAATATGTACAGCAACTCCTCGTACCAGTCTAGTCAAACTTCAACCAGTTCCATGTTTCATTGCATATTCCAGAATCAGTTTTCTGCAAAATCATTTGTCTGAAACTGGAATGGGTTGGTGATCAATCTAGATTCAGTTACCCCAGAACTGAAGCTGGTGTCGATTCTTCATAGAACATTCCAACCTGATGGTCATATGAGCTGTGACACTGCCATGGGTTTTGTATGCAGGGGAAATGGTGTTCCTCGTCCGAGTTGCGATGATATTATTTATTTGCTAACAACAACTGGAATGAGATATTTCTTGTGTTTAGTATGGTACAAGTGATTGTTAGCGTATTTGGTAACCACCAACCACAAGGGCACTTAACATGATCAGTTACGGCATATCCTCGTAGACTCCATTTGATTTTATGTTTGGTGTCTCACTTGAAACAGACTATATTTTTTACTGTCAAATTAAATAGGGAACATTTTGTTGTTCCTGTTGACTCAGTACAGTGAACACACCAAAAACAAATGTCGACTTGAAATGAAATGGGGAAGATTTGTGATAATGTTGTCTTTTTATGTTTTCAAAAGGGGGCAAGGGTGACACAGTGATTTAAAGGCATGTTTATCAGGGTGTTCTGTACTATTTTGTTGTTTCTCAGGCTACCTTCATCAGTAAAAGACCCCCAGTTTAAAACCACTTAGTTCATCCTTGGAGACCAGTGTGAAACTTCTAACCTGTTGGCAGCATATGTTTTAATAATAATAACAAGAACACCCATTTTTCGAAAGTTTTTGCCTGAGAATCACTTCTTTTGTAATTTTTGTTGTTGTGTAAGACTTGTTGTACTGCAGTAGAAAGGAGACAGAGATATGTCCAGTTTGTACCGCTGGACATTCACCGACTGGTTGTACCCATCACATTTTGAATGGAAGTTGTTGGTCTATGATTGCGTATCTCAGTTGACTTTGTTACATTCTATTTCCCCACAAACTCTTTCCTATGAATTCTTTGTGCAATATTTTCAAGAGATCTGATTTAGAATCTTTTAACACATTATTTTTGACTACAGTGATGTATTCTTAAAGAAAACAGGCACCCCATATACACGTTTGTCTTTCTCTGGCTTTTTCACGTGGTATTGTACACCAGAGTGTACCGTTAAGATACAATACATGTATACAATGTTTTAGGAAGATACAGTTTCAGTACAAGCATTTACTTTGATGTACAAGGGTTGTATTACGAATTATACTGATATTGCCTCATTTTGTCGCGAAACAAAACCATATTTATTGAACCGAATAATACAATACGTGCTAGAACTGAAATACTTTTCAAAGCATGAATCAAACTCACTGACTCACTTATAAGAGAAAAATCTTTCGAATCTCAAATATTCCACAGAGAGCAGTTGTGCATGTATCTCAATTTTTGTGTATCATTCCAAGCCGATTCATGCTGCAGGACAAACATGCCGATATTGTGAGGTCCATGTGGTCTGTAAGTGTACGTCACTGAGAATCTCCCCATGCATCTGTATATATCCTATATATCCGAGTGCCTTATATCTACAGCGTTTGTGAGGGTCTGAATGGGGGGTCGCATCTGTCCATATATTAGTTGGTACCTATTTATTCTTATGCATGTAAATTAAGCTAGATCTGTGTCTGTTTCTATAATGATTTCATCCCCCCAATATATTTGTCTAACGGCAGGGGAATAAATTGAAATAGATAAGATGTTTTCTTTTTTTTGTTCATTGTTTGTCACAAGAGATGCAATGTTAGTTTCTTGAATGGCATTAGTTGTGTGAGAATCAGAAATCTTGATACATTCAGTTGAAGTTGTTCAAATAGAATTCCGTTCGAACACTAAAGTTGATTGTATCTAAAATTTGCAATAACTTCAATTACCACGTCTGACTGCTTATTGGTACACTGTTGATGTAATTAGCACTTCACCTCAGACACCCTTATTCTGACTTATAAGCTTTTTAGGAGTGTCAGGTAGCCTAATGTTTGAAACCTGCTAGCCAGTCCCAGGTTTGATTCCCAGTGTGTACATTGTGTAAAGGTTTGTCTCGTTTTATGCCACCATGATATTGCTGGAATATTGCAAACTGCATCCAGAACCTCATAAGAGTGATAACCTTGACAAAGATTGTATTTGCAAAATCAAGCAATATCATCATTTTTTCTAATTAATTATTTAGACAAAGTGTTCTGTATTGGTGTTATATTTATTGCAGACACCACGTTAAAACCAAATTAAGAGAATAGACGGAGTCTCGAAGATACGCATAGTCAAGTAAGATCCCCGTTTTGAAACCATATTTGAATAGTCCCTAGGATGAAACAGTCTGGGTTTCTAGTATGTCTTTATAATGAGAGAACAAAATGTACAAATAATGAAATTCAGTAGTTAAGGGATGAACTGTGGGAAAGTATGAGGTATTGTTAATAATTAGGCCCAGCTCCACATACTGATAATCACATAATTTTGAAAAACTCTCAATTTTCCAGCTACATAAAGGTTGCCTGTTAAATGTAGACCAGAAAAGACAGCAATCCATGTCGTCAGGGGACAATGAAACGCCATCAACCAAGCCACCGAGCCCGACCTCCCAATCCATTTGGTTGTCTCTTAATCCTAGGCAGGGTTCGAAATTAACTTAATTCTGATAGTCCAAGACCAATAACATTTAGGAAGGACTAGTGACATTTCATTGTGGACTACCTCTTTTGCCATTAGGTAAATTGCAACTCTGTAGCATGTCATTTGTTGACGACAAGAGAAAATATTGAAATTATTTTCAAAGCCTGATAGGTTGCTGGGATCTAATTTAACCTGGAATCTCCACAGTGTCTTGGAAGCTGGAGTCTGATTACATCAATTACTGCATCTATATTCCATCTTTGTTATATTACAAGTTGACTGTCCTATAGTTTCATGACAGACAACAAGCAAATCAGAGATGAGAATTTTGGGCTTGAATGATTTTAATGTTTTGTTGGAGCTTTGTACTTATGTCCTGAGGTTCTAATGAGCTTTGTTCAAAAGAATTTATTTCACAAATATGTCATGGCATTTGAAGAATATATGTGTGCACAATGTTGATAAATGTATTTGTATGACCAGATGGGTGAAAGCTTTTTCCTCAAACCTCTTTGGTCACAATCCTGTGTGCCTGAAGTTAATGTGTATTTATTCATTATTCATTATCCATTTTAATTCATCTTAAGTTTGAACAGATTGTACAAAACTGTATAGCTTCACTGATTATCAATCAGAGGGTTTAAATTGGCAAATCATCTGTAATCATTTTCCATAGGATTAAATTGAAAGGTGCATCTAATCTATTTGAACATAATTTACCTTGTCCTAGTTACTATTTTTCATTACATTTTAGATGGTATCTGTGCTCAACTGGCTTACTGACAGTTAACTTCTCATTGAAATATGAATACTGCTTTGATAATCCTGATATCAATACATCACTATGGAACTCATCTTCTCGAGGCAAGGGAGTTAACTCGGTCGGGTAGCCTAGTGGTTAAAGCGTTCGCTCGTCACGCCGAAGACCCGGGTTCGATTCCTGACATGGGTACAATGTGTGAAGCCCATTTCTGGTGTCCCCCGCCGTGATATTGCTGGAATATTGCTAAAAGCGGCGTAAAACCATACTCACTCACTCACTCACCTTACCGAACTAGGCTGGAATTTCATGGCTCATAGCGCCACCAGTAGCAGTTACAACTTATGTCCCTGCTATTGCCCACTTATTGACCAATCAGATTCCACCTCTCTTTTCAATTGCATTTTCTTCATCCAAAATGGCTGTGCCCAGTCCAGACGATCTGATTGATAATCAAAATGGGTCTTACCTAGCAAAGTACATCAAATCACTTGAGCACCTTGATTAAAAACATTTGTAAAACCTCTGTCAACGCAGCATTGACAACGCAGCATTGACAGTACACATGCTCTGCAAATCCTGCAAGCAACTGAAATCAGTATGGCAGTTGCTATGTTGTTTATGAACCCAATCTCAATTTCGTTCCACGATTTGGATTGGACTATGCACTCGTCCAGCTAAAACATCATCTCTCCATAATTCCCACCTAGTTCCGCAAGGGTGGAAACTGGACTTTTAAAGTCAGTTAACTCCCTTGCTTTGGGAAGATGTATGGAACTCTGATAGAGGCTCAGGGAGGAACATCAAAAAGAATATTGCCGCAAACATTACATACATTTTGAGAGGGTCCTCTTTTTGAGTACTCATGGATGAAAAATATTCCAACCACCCCCACCTCTATGATAGACTAGTCTAGATATTTCCTTGTAAAAATTGCACAAGTGCCCCAAAAAGTCTTTTTGTTTCTTGTCTCAGCTAACTTCATCAACTCCTTTTCAGGCCACACCAATTTCATACATGAGTTCTTCACTTTACAAGGCAGTAGATATAAAAACAATACTTCCAACAAGGGACAATAGGCTTGTCCATAAAACAAGGAAACAACTGGTTTACTTGAAGTTGGGAATATCATATGCAATTAAGGTCATCATGCCTTTGAAGCTTTATAAACATTATCCACCAATGTAGGAGAGTTGAAGGGCAAGGTTGTACAGGCTGAAGTTAGAAAAGGAAGGTCCCTCGGGTCCTCATGTTGTTTCATTTTATGTGTGACTTCACAATATCATATTATTGTTAAATTGCTAATGAACTTGCCATCCGCTGCCTGAATATAGCCCAGTATTTCAGACACTTTGTTGAAGATTCTTGGGAAAACATTAAACAATTCATAACTTCAGATTAAACTCTTGCCAATACAGATCTTAATGCACAAATTGCATGTTCCTCAAAGGTATTGTAGCTCTCTTACAGTCAATGCAAGTTTGCAGCACCATTACCATGGCCTAATGCTGGAAAGAAGTGGCATTGCCTTAATTTCAGACTTTTTCATATCCTTTTTGAAAATTCATTTTTGTGCTCATTTAAATAAGCACATGTACCAGCTTTAAACTAAAGAAAAATTAAGAATTAAAATATTTAAATCTTGATTAAATATTTTGAAGTTTCTTTATATATATTCATGATTTGGAGTAAGTAATGTGACAAACATGACAGTTTCAATAGTATCTGAAGTACTGGTCATCATTGATGAAGTGTCTATGGGGGTTAGTGCTTGGATAGACTATTGTGATGGAATACTATGAGGGGCAAAATGCCATGTAACCATCTCAGTATGCCACCAGGGGTCGGATACATTTTAGGAAGGGACATCCCGTGCTCAGTGACAAAAGAAAGGTTTTACATGCCTACAAATGTATTCTGTGTACCATAATGCCTTTACAACCATTATAAGGGATGTACTACTCACACAATGTAAAAATATGCTTAAACCATTTATGAAAATGAAATCAGTGCAGTTTTGTGATATAAATACCTTGAAATTATCATGGTCTTTGCAATGGCAGAGATGTTTCACAACATGAACTAAGATTTCCAATATTGTAAAGCCCCTAGTCATAATGCATAAGGGTTGTATATTACAATTCTCAGGTGAACCACAAATTGTCCTTTCCACTCTTTATAGCTCAATTAAATATGGGCACATTGACAGTAAAGATGCTTTGATTTGTAGATTGTGCAGTTTGATAGATTTTAGGTAGCAATACTTGAGTTGTCTGCCTTTTGGCCATTGTACCTGTTACAGATATACTATAGATGATTTTAGTATCTATTTATTTTCAAAAGTGCATGTTAATTTGTAGGTCTCCTATTTATATACATAACTTTAGAAAGAATAAAATATCAAAGAATACATATTGTTTCCTCAATTGAACTTTTTCCTTGTCATCAATGTAGCCTATGCAACGTAAAACAATATTCATTCATTCATTCATTCATTCATTCATTCATTCATTGTAGCCTGGCAAATGACATGTACTCAACAGCAGTTCATGAGGCTGTATATGATATGGTTTTCTTCACCAGATTTAAGGTGTGGACATTGTCACGATATGGCTGAAATATTACCGATGTGACGATGTGACGTTAAACTTTAACTCACTCACTCACCTGAGGTGTGGACATGGGCTTTGTAATTCAAAGCTGTCTTCTGCGTCAACCCATCTTCCCGTGGCAAGCGTGTCCACTAGCCTATATCAAAGTTGTGCCCCTTGTAATGAAAACGTGATATCCAATCAGATCACTGTTATCTCGTAGAGCTTCACAAAGATGGCAACTACCACAGGTGACGATCAGATAACACAAACATTCACGATTTCATCCCCGACACAAAAACATAGGCAATCATTTAAAAGATGAAATAGACATATTTGTGTCAATAAAGACAGGCAGCGGTAAATCACTTTCATAGGAAGGTGTACAAGTCGTGGATGTTGATTTTGTGAAACGTTTTCTCATTGGACTATCAATATGTTCGATAGTCCAATCATATTTAGCACAGGAAAGTGGGCTTGATGTGTCAAGGGTGGAAACAGGACTTTGATAAAAAGGCTAGTGGACGCTCTCTGGTGATCTCATTTAGGATGTCTCTAAAAAGTGCCCACAGAAATCCAATGAGACTTTAAACAAGGTCACCATTATTTCTTCTTAATTCAGTTAAGATACAGAGCCTTGTTTTGGAAACTTATGCCAAAGGTCATTGTTGGTCAGCTAGTAGATGATTTAGCAAGTTGGACAAGTGAGTGTGATGAATTTTGTTTAGTGTCACAGCACTTTCCATTAATATCACAGTGGCCTTTGAAAACTCTAAAATATGTCTGGACCAGGCAAACCATGGTCTGGAAACAAACCACACCAATGAGCACAATGAGATGCTATCAGTTAAGTCACATAGCCTGACCATCCAATCAATTAAATCACCTCAATCAATAGAATGCTGTGGAGCTATTGCAACACCGTTTCAACACCTGAGTAAATTGGAGTATTTCAGGCATATCACTGTCTGCAGTATAATATAGAGGAAAACATGTATAAGTGTCATCGATATTTTCCAGTTCCATGAAACTCACATGCACAGTTATGGTTCTTAGAGAAAAGTATCAAGTCAGACATGGGATTTGATTGTTAAGTTGTTTTGTTGTTTAACGCTGCATTCAGCAATATTCACGCTATATGATGGTGGTCTGTAAATAATCTGGACCAGACAATCCAGTGATTGATATCATAAGCATTGACCAACGCAATCGGGATTGATGACATGCATCAACCAAGTCAGCGAGCCCGACCACCCGATCCCGTTAGTCGCCTCTTACGACAAGCATAGTCGCCTTTTACGGCAAGCATGGGTTGCTGAAGAGCTATTCTACCCTGGATCTTCACAGGTCACATGGGATTTGAACCCAGAACCAAGGGCTCCTGGCAAGTGAGGCATGCATCTTCTTGTTAAAAAGTATGAGTGAAGGAATATTTCACATAGTTGTCAGCCATATTCAGTCTTCCTATTATGTAGAGGTGTAACGATACGGGAGGGTCGGGATACGATATGTATCGCGATACAGGGGTTGCGATACGATACGTATCACGATACAGTGTTTACTGGTACAAGCTAAGCAAAGTTGATGTCTTTCTGCTATCTAAAAGATGTGACAAGTACAGTTGAAGAAGATATTAGGTGTTTATTTACTGTTATAGCAAATTGTCAGCAATACAGTATGTTTTACTGAAACAACAAACTGGCTTTGAAACTGTTAAACGTATTACATGGGCGCGACCCCCCCCCCCCCCCCTTTTTTTTTTTTATTTCGAAAAAAATCTTTATTTCTGTATAAATTACCACCAAATACAATAAATAGATCTTAATTGTGCACCCCCCCTTTTAAAAAAAGCTGTATCCGCCCATATGTATTTCATGTATTTTCTTTAGTATTGTGCGCACCAATGTTTAATGCGCTCGGGTGATGAGGAACTTCGTCAGTACATATTCGAAATTTGAGATAAAAAATCACCAGACATTTTGATTTACCGTTTAAATTGTATTTTTTGTTCAGCTAGGCATTGTTTTATATCCAGGGATTAAGATTACCTTGTGTATTTTCTCGTAAACTAAGCCGGACACAGCTGTACACACGTTTTCTTGGAATCTACCGGTGATTCGGTCAAGACACACCCAATGATATAACTTCACAGTATTTTAAATGCAAGGATCGGCAAAAGTTGTATCTGAAACTATTTTTTTATCAGGAATAATATATTCCAATATATTGTTAATTTAGATGCAGCTTTTACTAAACATATTTAAAATAATAATAACCCTAAGCGAAGCAGCTGATCGCTATTGCCGGGTATTATTTTTTACATGGAACCAGTCTGACAAGTCACCGTCAAGGCTCCCGTGCACGTGATCGCGTGATCGGGAGAATTACGTGGTGACATAGAATCGTCCAACAAAAACAAATCTGACTTTTAACGAATCAAAGTATGGCATTTATGATATATGTATCCATTCTCTGTCAACTAAAATTCCTTTCAAGGCGTCAATAGCGGTAATCTGACCGTGGTTTCTGTTAATAACGGTGAGTTGTGCGATCTTCCGATCGCTTCACACACGATTTCGACGAAATTAATTAAAACAATATTAAAAGGAATTTTGAATAAAATTAATGAAAAAAGTTACAAACATGAGTCCAGATATACAAAGAACACTTTTTTTTATAGCCAGTGTAAGTACATGAATAATTTGCGAACCTCAGTATGGATTTGTTGACATGGTATCTCCGGTGTTACGTGCTCACGGTAATGTCTTTCCATGGGGGAAAAACATCAAAACATAAAAAAGCCTGCCTGAATCAGATGACCTTCAAAGTTAGGCAATACCTCAATTGATTCCAGATATATTCTAGAATCAATGTGCTGACTGACAAATGTTAAGTAAAACATCTAAAACTTCAATCAGTTTCAACTAATTTGGAGTCCATGTGAGCTACAATGCAGAACCAAGCTCATCCTGTAAACCATCCATCAGCATGTCCTCTCCTTTAAATGTTGGGTAACTGCCTCAAGCTACTTATGTGACATCAGCAGTTATGTGCGTGTGGTTTTTTTTATGGTTAATAAGATTGTATTGCTAGTTAACCATGAGCAATAAATTAGAGACCCATTGTGAGAACTGTGAAATAAGTTTTATGAGAAACAATTATAACAGTAATCAGTCAAGCCAATAAATGATAGCATGAAAATACACGCAACTGGAGTATGACAGACACATGCAACAGCTGTGATGTATCATTTCAGACTTAGTCACCATTCAAGCACTCGCAATGCTATGTACACCACAGGCTAGCCATGTGACAACTACATTACATTTTCCGGTTAGTGAAGACATTCTGTCCCAACCCATTATCACGGTGTCAATGGCAAAATGACTGCAGGGTCTAGAAAAAATAAAAGAATCGATCCTGTCTATAATCAATGTTTTCTCTTGAATACAAGATACGCGGAACGTGAAATTCGAAGTGTGGCTCAAGAGATTTGCTGATGCATGTGTGATTGTCAACCTCCCATAACCAGACATGTCATCTATAAAATAATGGGCAAACGGATGAATGTATAAGGACAGCTATCATAGTTTCCGTTCGAACGATTACACACTCAACGTCACCATGAATTCTTATTCGTTGTGAAACACGTGTACGAGCAACTTCGCAAACAGAGTGTACTAGCAACGAACGACTAGTTTCTAACAGTAGTCGTAATATGATACAATCTTAAAGAGAAATCACATTACAATGCCATGTCGTTTTGAAAAAAACCTGCAATGTTAGTGTCGTGATATTTGTTAAGGGTTGTACTCAATCTATCGAAATCAACTCATATATACACTGAAACTCCTCATTTGATGTAGTAGGTCTTAAAGATAGTATAATACTATCTTGCTCCAGCAGACGATTTCGCGCACCGGCTTTACATTGATTGGTTGGATGGCTGGCGTGACAGCGAGACATGTTCCAGTGGGGCCCGGATTATGGATTCATAACCCTATTTAAATGAGAAGTACTGAACTTTTTTTTCATACTCGTTTCGGCTTTGCATCAAAGGGCAGGTAATCCAGTGAATGCGAGTCAATAAAGGAGATACCGGTAATGTCGAATTAGACTGGTGAGTAGAATGATAATATTATTTGTGCCCAGACACCTAATTGTTTCGTTGGGCTTTTCGTCTTTGGGTATCTGTTTGTGCAGTATAATGTCATTGTTTGTAGAGATTTGTCAACAAAAAGGGTTGATTAAAATCTCACTCAACTGACTACTTCGTCGAAGCACTCGACGCGTCCCTAAGACGTTGTGTTACCTAACTATAAAGTCAATGTCAAGGCCACTTGTTAAATTAAATTTAAAACTATATGCATGTATGTCTGCTACGTTTGCCATTGCTATCGGATAGTGTATGGAAAGGAGATTTATCAGCATAGACGATATCTTAGAACGCATGGTGTTTGTTGTCATAGGGAATACCACCTGCTGTATTTCTAAACGATGGTTATACCAGTGTGTGAAACCTATTTCTTTCTTACTTTATTTCTAAACGATTGACAGGTGTTTTTAGTGGAGTCCTAATACTTTGATTTAAAACTATGACTATGAGTAGTGAAGGTAAAACATTCATGCATCACGCATGGATATGATTTTTTTACAGTAACCATTGGCCCTATCCGGTCCACAAATACTAGTTGCTTACGAAACATACGATTTAGTGATAAACAATTAATTCTTACTCATTTTCAATAGTCTTTGACTATTGGATTAGTGGGTATGTTGATCCCTGAACTAGCCCCTGTCTAGACTCAATAAGAACTGCTTGTTGCTTACTGTAATCCGAGTTGGGTGGGATATGATTCGTGGTCTGGTACCCATTTCTAGCCTAGGGCTAGACCTTGTGTTTAGTTGTAATTAGTGCGTGTGAAACAGAGTCTTTGCCATTGTGTAATTTGGATAACCATTAACTCATAGATTGATATACAAAATTGTTGACAGAAGAAGTGTTGTTTGGACTTGAATTAAACTTGTTGATTCTACAATTTGGGCCAATCCTCTACCCTCAGCACTATCGGCAGGGCTACCATTTGCATTTTTAAAGGCTCATCACCTACTAGATCACTGGTGTTTGATTAAACTAGTTTTGACTGTAACTGTAATTCTGGCTCTGTTGATTTCCAGGCCAGAACAGGTCACTATTACATCATGCTTAGAACCCTCTCAAATGGAGATTGTGTGATCAGGCTCTGCGGCTTGGCTGATTACTTGTCATTGTATCCCAGTGCCTAGAAACATTGCTTAAGCTGTCAGTCACTGATTTTCCTGGTCCAGACTCGCTGTTTAATGTGCAGGGGCGGTCGGGTAGCCTAGTGGTTAAAGTGATCGCTCGTCACGTCGAAGACCCGGGTTCGATTCCCGACATGGTACAATGTGTGAAGCCCATTTCTGGTGTCCCCCGCCGTGATATTGCTGGAATATTGCTAAAAGCGGCGTAAAACCATACTCACCAGGGTTAGAAATTGGCACTAGTCCTATATTCCTTGCCAAATTGCCCAATAGTAAAGGTATCCTAAGGACTAGTAGAATTTTGACATTTTTAAAGGTTTTGCTATATGCTATCATTATAAGGACTAGTGGACTGAAACTGTTAGTTTCTACCGCTGCTCACTCACTCACTCACTCACTCTATAATATGCAGCAGTGATATAGCTAGAGTATTGTTTACTGCATCATGAAACAACATTCACTCGTTCATGTATTCAGAGACACAACTAAGCTGTCATTTGGTATTTGTTGACTAATCAAACTAGACCCGTGAAGATCCGGGGTAGAATAGGTCTTCAGCAACCCATGCTTGCCGTAAATGGCGACTATGCTTGTCGTAAAAGGCGACTAAAGGGATCGGGTGGTCAGGCTCGCTGACTTGGTTGATGAATGTCATCGATCCCAATTGCGTGGATCGATGATCATGATATTAATCACTGGATTGTCTGGTCCAGACTCGATTATTTACAGACCGCCGTCATATAGCTGGAATATTGCTGAGTGCGGCGTAAAACAACAAACCAACCAACCAAACCAACCAACTAATCAAACTAAATATGCTCATTATGAAAAGCATTTTTACACAAAATGCAGAAACCTGAAAGAAATGGGTTTGTCACAGGTTATGTCTACATGTTTCCTGGAGAATATCAGCCTCGCTTAAATATGTAATTGATAAACATCAACAATTGCTGTCAACCGAAGATAATACTGTCTACGGTTGATATATATATTATAGCTAACATGGATAAAATTATCACTACACCGCCCGCCTGTTATCAGAAATGAGTGGTCCACTGTAACTTGATGATGACCTCATATTGCTTGACGACGGGCCACTATCACGCCCGTTGTTAGGTGACGTCATAGGGATAGGTGACGTCATAGGGATAGGTGACGTCACGTTCAATAGTGACGTCATCAGGTTCATTCTATGATGTTTCCATATTTGTAAAAGTGGGTCAGTAACATTCGTGTTGATTGCACTAAATGTTTCAAAACCGATATTGTTGTTTATTTTTATTTGATAACAAATTCTATCCATTTTAGCTATAATAACGATAACGCTATTTTTCAGGGCATTATCATTTGCAGATGCCCTTGGTCTTTTCAACTGCCCCCTTTGTCGGGCAGTTAACCAAAGACCTCGGGCTTCTGCAAATCGGGTGGTCAGGCTCGCTGACTTGGTTGAAGCATGTCATCGATCCCAATTGCGCAGAACGATGCTCATGACATCACTCACTGGATTGTCTGGTCCAGACTCGATTATTTACAGACCGCCGCCATATAGCCGGAATATTGCTGAGTGCGGCGTTAAACAACAAACCAAACCAAACCAAATCTAGACATGTTAAGCCATGAACAATATTTGACAATCACTGAAGCAGATGAGCTTCTTATATTGAGATAGACTGAAGATCATCTGCATTGCTGAAAAATGCTGAAGGTGTCAGTATTTGCAATAATGTTGATGTGCTTGATTTTTCATGCTGAATGTTGACTACATCTCCTACTTCACTACTACTTGTTTAATGACAAAAACTCACTATAACTCCTTGGTTACACTACAAGTCGCTAATGTTCGCACTTCTTTCTGACGATGCACACATTCCTTTTGACTTGTATATGTTTGAGTTAAGATAAAGCTCGGTCAACTTCAGTGATCTCATCGTTTGATGAATGTATCTGAACAGTTTTTGCCAGGGCTGTGGTAAAAAACAATTCCCAATCAGATATTCTGTTGATACCTACAGTGAGTACCCGGGTAGGGTCTGGTACCTGGGTAGGGTCTGGTACCCGGGTAGTAAATTTGAACTTGTCCCAGTCCTAGTATCGAATTTGTTTTTTTAATGTGCTGTGATCCTTTCTCAAAGTTAAGTATTTGGATTATGCCCTGTGTTGAACATTTTGATATTTACATTCTACTGAAGTGGCAGAAAATTAATATAATGATTTTATATAGTATGTCAGTGAATCATCCCTTGGCTCTGTATGTTTGACACAGAAACAAATGCTAGAGTTCTGATCGGAAGTTGAAGTGTAAACACTCTCACTAAACACCTTATATTTGAGGTTTTGCCTTATATGTTTCATGTTCCTGAAGGACTGCAAGTGAAATATTCCTGCACAGTTAATATGCTTGTCCAGCTCATTTTAATCATCATTCAATTGTATGATTCCTCAATCAATATGGGGGGTACGGGTGGCCCAGTCGTCTAAGGCGCCGCAATTCGCTGTGCAGAGTTGCGTCCATTGGGCACGCCAGAAACCTATGATTGTGGGTTCGAATCCCGGTTCGCCCCAATTATGTTTCTAGGTTTGTCAGCACCATACCCGTGCTCATGGGTTTCGCCGAAGTGGTAAACGTCTGAGACCTGCATCACTTCTGGCTTTCCTCCAACATAAGCTGACACGTCGTGATATAACTGGAATACTGTTAAAAGCGGCGTTAAACCCAACTCACTCACTCACTCAATCAATCAATATGAATGTTTGTTAGGACTATAGGACTAAATGTTTCTGACACTGCTGCCTCTGTCATACATGGTTATCAAAGACACAATGTACTGTGAGTATGGTTGTAGAATAGGTTGTAAGCAAGGTAAGGTGATAACATGGTTGTAAGTTTCACAACCATAGTGTTTTGCTTCATTTCATGTATTTCACAGATGTCTTACTCTATAAATTGTAACATTGAAGCAGTTTAGAGTGGAATTATATTATTGTGCAGAAGGGCTGTACCCAAACAAGCCAAAACTTGATTATATGAACAGAGAGATTTGCCCCGGACATTTGAGTCATACTCATTAAGTCACAAAGGTTACTAAGTCATGCAGTGTTTACATTCAGTTAAATGATATGTACAAAGTTCATAGCCACTTTTGCAATAGAAACAGGGGCTTCAACAAATGGAATATGTTTACATAATCAACAGGAACTGTGCCACAGAATCAGTCTGTGCCAAAAAACTATTTAGTCTGCTAGCTGAACTTGTATTTGGCGTTATTTTCAGTGGAATAAGACATGTCTTTGCATGGTCTAGTATGAGCTGATGTTCAAAGCCAGAAGAAATCTACTAGACACACGCTTCAGACTTGTAAATTTATACCATTATGTCATAAATGTGTTGCCAATTCTGTCGTTTATTTCTTTGAAACCATATTACTTGTTCGTATTGGTAATATTACTCTGTGATTACTGACAATGGACCTGCATGATATTTTTTGAATGTTGGAAACAGGATCTTGTAGGTATGAGAAATAATTGTATTAATTAATTCTAAGAAATCATTGGAACGATACAGTAAAAGAAGTTCATGTCAAAGCATGTCATAGGTGTACACTGGAAATCAAGATCATGATGTCAAGTGGTTTGCGTCACTATTTACATTCACAACAGTTACAACACATCTCACTCATTCTTAATGTTATGTTCGGAACTAGAGAATGCTTTATTAATAGATGTATTTCGCTTTATTAGGTCACTTTAAACAGCTATTGAAGGAAATACATGTTAATTGTTTTGTTGAATTCTATTTTATGTACATAAATCATGGATAGTATCACTGCCTTAGTAATA